CCTGCGCACGACTGCGGGTGCAAGAGGAAGGCCCTGCGGTGCGGCACGTCCTGGGGCAATGCAGAAGCAAGCGAGCAGCTACCCAGCTGCAACCGTCGAGACCAGGGTTTTTTTTTTCGTTTCTGGTTCGGATTTCACTTTTTTCTTGGGCGTCGCTTCTCTTTGCTGTGCCTGCAGGCACTGCGGCAGCCACACAGAGCACCACGCTCGCCGCGCTGCAGCTCCGTGACTCATTTGTACCTTCTCTGCTGCGGTCTGCTCCGTCCGTGTCGCAGGCGGCGCGCCTTCCTGCTCTCCCACGCTGCCGGGGGCCCTGAAACGGGACGGGCCCCGCACCAGCCCCGCTCTCGCCTCCGCCTGCTGCGGCTGTCTGCCTCTGGGACCCCTCTTGGGGCATCGCTCCGAGAGTTTCTCAACAAGAGGCACCTTTGCTAGCGCGGCCCTGCCACCTCGTCCCGTGCAAGCCATCCCCCCAGCCGCAGGGCGCTTCCTCGCTCTCGCTCCCCTCCTCTCCGATTCTCAGGGATGCAAGCATCCCTCTGCTTCTCCCCCGGGGAAGCTCCTAGAGGGCAACATCTCCCCTGTACAGGGCTAAAACCTTCCGCGCCTCGCTTCACCCTGTACAGCTAGACTGTCACAGCACGAGGACGGCTGCGGTGGCCCGGGCAGCGTGGCAGGGCTCGGCTTGACAGCATCCTTTCCTTGCGAGACCCCCGGGCCCGCCTCGCCGGAGGGCGCGCAGCCCCGGCGCTGCTCTTTTCACCGCAGCGAGACGCTGCAGGTGTCAGGGCAAACCCATCTGCTTTGCGCGGCGCCGGCCAGGCTCCCACCACGCACCGCTTCCCCCCCACGCCGTCAGCTGCGCGGCGGCCGCAGCACCGGCGCCCACGGTCGTCCATCCCCGCCGGCGGCAGAGGCGGCCGCTCCGGCTGCGGTTCTCCCCCCGGGGACCCCAAGCACGGTTCCCCCGCAACACGGGCTCCCTTCTGCTGCAGCCCAAGAGACCGCTAGCAGCAACCTGCATGTCTCGCTGCCGTGGCCGCACGATGGGGCAACAGCCCTCCGGGAAGAAGCGGGGAAGGGGCTGGGGGGATCCCCGCCCTGCCAGGGATGCCACGAGGGCGTGCCTGCACCCCTAACAGCCCCCCAGCCTTGTGCTTCGGGCCCCGCCGCCCCCCTCCCCCTCACTTTCCACGGCACTTGGCCGTACCCAAGCAAGACCACACAGCACCCCGGTGCCGGCCAGGGCGAGGGGCAGCGGCACACCACAGCCGTGCCTTCGCCTACGCCGTCTCCGCGCTTCCCGGAGCCGCGTTGCCTCCATGCTGCCTGCACAAAGCGCCCAACGCGCCGCGGGCTCTGCGGGGATGCTCCGGGCCGTCCCGCTCGCTCCCGGCTCCTCACGCGCATCCTGGCGTGACCGCGGTAGGAGCCCACCCCAGTTTCTATCTCCCCCTGGAAATTTCCAGCGCTCGACGCTGGCTGCCAGCTTCCCCGCCGGGGGCTCAGCTCGCAGAGTCGCGCTCCGCCGTGCGCGGTCGCACGCAGCACGGCCAGGGACGCTGCGGACACGCCGCCCACCCACGCTGGCCTTGCCGCCGCGGCCCTGGGGGCTGCGCCGCTGGCAGACACGCGAGGGGCCCCTCGGCACTGCGGCAGAGGGGACGCGGGGGTCCCTTGCGGTACCCCCGAGCCCCAGCACTAGGTGCCACGGTCCCTCCTCCCAGGAGATGGGGGACAGGGGGGCTCTTCTGCAAGGATCCGGGGGTGCGCAGGGCTCTCTCCTGCGATAAGCTGGGGGGGAAGGTGTCCCTGGCATCCCTCCTGCGAGGTGCTGGAGCCGGGGGAAGGGGGGAAGTCCCAGGGATCCCCCCCTGCAAGGAGTGGCGGGGGTCCCAGCCCTCCTGCAAAGAGCTGGGGCGGGGGAGAGCATCCTGCAAGGAGCCGGGGG